ATATACACATATATGTATACATATACATATACATATACACATATATGTATACATATACATATATATGTATACATATACATATACACATATACATATACACATATATGTCTACATATACATATACACATATATGTCTACATATACATATACACATATATGTCTACATATACATATACACATATATGTATACATATACATATACACATATACGTATACATATACATATACATATACATATACACATATATGTATACATATACATATACACATATATGTATACATATACATATACACATATGTCTACATATACATATACACATATATGTATACATATACATATACACATATATGTCTACATATACATATATACACATATATGTCTACTTATACATATATACACATATAAGTATACATATATATGTATGTGTATACATATATATGTATGTGTATACATATATATGCATGTGTATACATATATATTTATATATATATATACATATGTATATGTATATATACATATGTATATGTATATGTATATATACATATATACATATGTATATATGTATATATGTATATGTATATATACATATATACATATATACATATGTATATATGTATATGTATATATACATATATACATATATACATATGTATATATGTATATGTATATGTATATGTATATGTATTATATATATATATATATATATATATATATATATATATATATATATATATATACATATATATATATATACATATATATATATATACATATATATATACATATATATATACATATATATATATACATATATATATACATATATATATACATATATATATACATATATATATACATATATATATACATATATATATACATATATACATATATATATACATATATATATACATATATATATACATATATATATACATATATATATACATATACATATACATATACATATACATATATATAATATATATATATATATATATATATATATATATATATATACACATATATGTATACATATACATATATATACACATATATCATCACTTTCAGTAACATATTTTCTTTCATCAATCAATTTTCTTTCATTACCAAGGCCAAAAGTAGGGTGAGTTAAATCTTTGGAGTTATCTATTGTTTATTTTCTGTGGCTGTTTGCAACTCTATAAAGAAAGGCCACTTATCTAATGTAATTTCCTTTCTTTCTTACTTATTTTCTTGTGTGCGCAAGTATGTACACATGCACAAGTGTACTCATGAGGTTGAGTGTAAGAGTATGAGTGTGAGGGATATTAATGCATGTATATGTGTATGAGGATATTCATTAATAGATTATATGTTACAGTATACATATATATGTATGTGTATACATATATATGTATACATATACACATATATGTCTACATATACATATATATGTATGTGTATACATATATATGTATGTGTATACATATATATGCATGTGTATACATATATATGTATACATATGTATACATATACATATATATATATATATACATATACATATACACATATATGTCATATATGTCTACATATACATATACACATATATATACATATACATATACATATATATGTATGTGTATACATATATATGCATGTGTATACATATATATGTATGTGTATACATATATATGCATGTGTATACATATATATGTATACATATACATATATATGTATGTGTATACATATATATGCATGTGTATACATATATATGCATGTGTATACATATATATGTATACATATACACATATATGTCTACATATACATATATATGTATGTGTATACATATATATGTATACATATACACATATATGTATACATATACACATATATGTCATATATGTCTACATATACATATATATGTATGTGTATACATATATATGTATACATATGTATACATATACATATATACACATATATGTCTACATATACATATACATATACACATATATGTCTACATATACATATACACATATATGTCTACATATACATATACATATACATATATATGTATGTGTATACATATATATGTATGTGTATACATATATATGTATACATATACATATATATGTATGTGTATACATATATATGTATGTGTATACATATATATGTATGTGTATACATATATATGTATACATATACATATATACACATATATGTATACATATGTATACATATACATATATATAATATATATATATATAGATATATATATATATATATAATATATATATATATAAAGAACTCAACAGCCAGTCAAATAACTGTCACCACATATAACATGTTACTAATGCATAACACTCTCCATAACAGGAAGAATTAATGCCAGTAAATGTCAAAACTCCCAAGAAGAAAAAGGGTACGGCCATCAAGGAATCCACAGTACGGTATAGGAAGAGTGTTGTTACAGAAGCAGATGCTTGGATAGTCGACTACAGCTTTGACAAAGAAGAGGAACTGTGGTGTGAGGTGAGTGGGGGAAGAGGCAAGATTCGGTCAGATTTTTGGAAAGTTTCGATTATTTGCAAGTCAGATATTTTGTGAAGCCAAGGAAAGGCAGTGAAGAGAAATTGTGTTTTGTGTGAACTAGTTGAGTGGTTTAGGATCATGTTGTATTGGTCCAGCTGTGAATGTTCTATTATAAAAAGATTGTTCTATATTGACTAACAGTAGTTTACTGTTATTTCTGCCATAGCTATATTTCTCTGATGGACCTTTTTGATACTATTCTTTATTATCCCTTTAACTGCAGCCTAGGATTCCATATGCTCTCCTCTGTTTGCATCTTGGGTAACACGTAAAGTGGGAGATTCCAGGGTTGATTGTAAAGATACTTACAAAGGCAATTTCAAATGGAAAATGAAGCTTTGTGTACAGAATATTCCAAAAGTAATTGCTTTTTGTATAAACTGGTTCATGTAACAAGTGTAGAAAGATATAAATGAGATTGAATATTTTCATCATTGGTAGAACAAAGAAAATGAGACAGATTGTTTTGTTTCAAATTAATAAGGTATTTTGTTTATTCCTTCTTCCAGTATATTGTATCTATTAATGCCATGGATGCAGTCGAAGGGTTAAGATGTAGCTGTACATTAAGCAGTCTGGAGTTGGTAACCTCTCCACTATCTCATTGATTTATACTTTTTCTTGGTTTAGTCCGGGGGAGGTTGACTTTATAGAGAAACATTCTAATAAGGACCTATTTTCCAGGTTACCATGCTCTTGCCTCTGGCTGGTGGTAACTATGACATCCCATCCATCGTGCGGCAAAAGTCCCAACGCTGCCTGATTCACAGTGTTCCTGGGATTAAGCGTGTTTTCGTTGTGGAGAAGGATGATGGGTTGTTGCTGAGAACTGAGGGAGTTAATATATTTGTAAGTATTCACAGAGAAGGATGAAACTCATTTTGTAGCCCTTTCCCTTACGTGCACAAAGTTTGTGGTGTGATAATGTAGTAATTATGCAATAAGAGTAAAACAAAAAATTACTTGACTTCCATTAAAGTTCTCTTTGCAGTCTTCAAGAATATATATCTGAGCAGTTTAGTGTGTATTCTTTCTTTTATTTTTTCCTTCTTCCAGAAAATGTTTGAATATGAGCATCTCTTAGATGTAAATCGTCTCTACACCAACAATATTCACCAAGTAGCAGAGATGTATGGAATAGAAGCCGCACAGCGTTCAATCATAAGGGAATTGCGGGCTGTGCAATCTGCATATGATATCAAGGTTTGTGATGCAGGCTTCTGTAGTATTTGCATGCATGTAAAGTAGTAAATATGAGCTAGGAAGATTTTTTTTTGTTTCTTTTTCATCAGCCGTACAAAGCTTTTGTTTGTTATTGTAAATTTATGTATACAAGAGATAATATACAAAAATAAGGCACTTTATGCTTTAATAAGACTGGAACACCACCAGCAGACCTTTAATCTGATTAAAGATTTCAAAATTAATTTAATGAAATTTTAGTACTTAATAAAATGTCAGCTGTTTGAAATATTTCTGGTGGTTATGATAATCCTAGTGTTGCTGGTCAGTTTTAGGTACCGTGTCAAATGATGTGTCTGGTACGCCATCATCTATTACCCGTACACTATACACTTTTTTTTTTTCTTTTTTTCTTTTTTTTCTTTTTTTGTAAAACTGTGGAATGAAAGTTTCTAAATTGGATAGAGAATTACAAATTACTGAGAGCTTTTCCTCCAGTCTGTAAAGAGAAATGATGAAACACATTTTTCAGGTCGACTTCCGCCACTTAACTCTCCTGGCCGATTACTTTACCTGTGAGGGGGTTTACAAGGCCTGTTCCCGCCAGGCTCTGGCCACTTGCGTTTCTCCACTTCAGAAGATGTCTTATGAGACTTGTACAGCTTTTCTCAAATCTGCACTTTTACAAGGCAAGTCATACGTACACTTACAATGTAGATTACAAGCTATGAATGAACATTTCAGTATTAGTTTCCAGAAGTAAGGTTGATATTTACCTTTTCTAATACCTTTTCCAATTCAATAAGATATTTAATGTGCTTCCTTTTTTTCAGGAGAGAAAGACAGAATGCTGTCACCATCAGCAAACATTGCTGTTGGGCAACCAGTTAAAGTAGGCACAAATGTTATGCATGTTCTGCCTGTCATTAGATAATGAAAATTACCCTATATGTAATTGTCAACAGAAAATATTTGTAATGTTTAAATCTGTTAAATTATAAATAAATATATATATGTGCTCAAGTATGTATTCCCCCACAGTTTTGGATTTTAATGGAATACTATCATTAATATGATGAAAATCATTAATTACCTAGTGCCTTCCATTAAATGATAAAATTAATTACCATATCAAAGAATTTGTCTTTTTTCCAATTACTTATTGTTATTTGCATATATCTGGAGATCAGTCCAGCAGATTTTCACTAATAGCAAATTGTATTTCTTTCCTAATAAAAGTATCAAATACGAACCATGTTTTATTTGTAGATGCTTTAATGGGCAATATATACATTTCTTTATTTTAATAAATGATACACATACATCTATATCACAAAACTAATAATAACATTCATAGCACAGGGATCAAGATTTTTTTAAGAATTATATGACATTCTACATTAGTCCACCATTTTATGAATGAACTTGATATCTTTTCAAAGTGTTCTACTGGTTGCTAGAAGGTATTATCTACCTCAGCAACTAAACTATTATATGAATTTAAACATACAGACAAGTACTTCACTTCATATTGGTCATCCTAATTCTTTGAAGAGCCTGCAGTGATATATATAAGGCGATGTCTTGCACACAAAACACGATGCCGTTGCTAAGGCTACTTATCAGATGGCACCATTTGTATGATAAGTGACATTTCATGGATTCAACAGTGCAAGCAGAATCTCTGGCAGCAAGACTAGCAGTGACTTCTCTTCTCCCTTTCTAACTCTCTTCCTCCCTCCCTCCCTCTCTCTCTCTTTATCATGCAACAGTTATAAATTCCTTAATTACTTCTACATAATTTAGGTTCTACAACTGCACAGGTCTACAAAGAAATACACAGTGCATTAGATGCTTTCCTTTTTTTTTTTTTTTTTTTTTTTGCATTTATCTGTGATACGACGTGCTTCAAAATCGTGAAGTATACTTTATATATATATATATGAAATGAAATGTTTTGATGAACAGAAGGAAGTGAATCTGGAAGTATTAAAGTGCCAGGTACTGGGTGCCGGTGAACAGTTCGAGGTAGTCTGGTTTCCTGGGATTCGATTGGCCGCACGGACGAGTCAGCAGCTCTCCGCCCGAGGTTGTTATGGCTTCCTTCTTGTGGTACTCGATCAGATCACCTGCAGGGGAAGATTTCATTGGTATTAATGTTGTTAGAAGGCTAGTTGTGCATGGTTAATACAGCAAAAGCAATCATCCTGTATTGAAAAAAATACTGTTTTTGAACATAATCATTCTGAGTTTACAATAAAGTCGGTACTGCACCCCATCCACTCCATCAATAAAAAACTATGACATCGAGAGCTTTCCCGCACATGCCTCAAAAACCACGAATGGAGACCACCTACCAAGAGTATCGTGGGATGCTTGGTGTGAGCCGAAGAACGTGTACTTTCCACCTGTGACATCAATCAGGTAATGGCGGCACCTGTCAGCGGCGCGGTAGGAAATGGCGTACCCCCATATCCGTTCGCTTACTCGTACCAGGAAACGACCTACTTCAGATCCTGCTAGCACCTCTTCTGCTTCTGTTCTGCTTATAATACCTGGAACAAAACACCAATCTCTTAAATGCACGAAGGATTGTTTACTGGGACGTACTAAAATACCAATAAGGTCTTTATTACAAAAAGGATGGTAAACCAACGAAAAAAAAAGCAACAGGCGTCGAATCAGCTGTACACAAATAGATAAACAACGACCCTCAGTTGTAAGAACAAACTACAAGGACTGCCTCTTACCATGGAACCAGGGCGCGACGCGTGTGCGCGAAGGCTCCAGGCCGGCTCCTCGGGGCAGCTCCTCCTCGCGGAACCAAGCGACGATGGCGCCGCGGGACGGGGGCTTCGGGGGCCGGATCCTCTGACGGACGCAGCCGCCGAACGGACTGCCTTTGCTCACTGCTGTGTTGTTGCTGCTGCCAATGCTCTTGTTATGGTTGTTGTTGTTACTAACGCTGTTGAAATGGAAAAAAATATACTAGCATCAAGTTCTTAAATAATATTTTAGGTGTAATTGTACGCACACTTATACTGCAAGAAAGTAATAATTTCATTATCTCTCATTTTCTCAAGTGATGGGGAAAAAAATCAAAATATCCCGAAAAAAATCCTTATATAAAAACTCACTCTTCTTGAATCGCTTTGATGTTCCCATTAATATCTCCGCCGACACTGGAATGGTGGCCGTTCACGCCGTTCATGCCGTTCTTGATGAGGTTGTTCTTGACGACTGTGTTGTGCGTGAGGCCGTTCAGGTTGCGATTGATGGCGTGTGCTGGCGACGAGTGCGTGGACGCCCTTCGGTGCTCCTCGCGGGCGCGGCGGGCGATTTCGCGGATGCGTCTCTCCGCTTCCTTGGCCTTGCGCTCTGTGGGAAGGGACGTCGTTGGCGGTTGGCAAGGGATAGTCTTTGAAGCTTAATATAGGATTTATAGAATATGTTTCCCTACTTGCTTTTGCGGGTTAAGAATACAAGATAATCGGGTTAAGAAAACTATCACCGAATATTCGGTATCTTAAATGCAAGATTTTCTTTTACATGCACTTATATGATGAAATGATTGTCAACAACAAAATGAACCTAAAAATCTCAATACTAGATGACTACCGATAGCAAAGCAGTCGCCCCACTGGGAGTACCCACCTTGCTCTTGCCAGGCGCTGTCGTCCTTCTCGTTGGTCTGCTTGTGGGTAGTGTCTGCTACCTGCTGGCGGGCGGCCTCTACCTGGCTCCGCAGGTGTTCCAGAATCTCCTTCTGCCTCCGCTTCTTCGCTCGTTCCAGTGTGGCCGTTTTCAGGGCCTCCAGCGAGCCCTCGGAAAGCTGTTCGAAACGTTTGATCTGTGCTGCTACGCCCACCTGCAGGAAAACGTGTTGCAACAGGGATGAGACAAATATGGGCAATCAGCAGTAACACAGCAACAGCAGTAATGATTGACAACAATAATAATGCAACAGAGAATGTATAATAAAATGTAACAGTAATAACGGGAAATATCTGGGCCCAAGCCTGCACGTACGGTCATGGCTGCTTCCGCGTCGCCGTCCTTCACTCTGTCGCAGAGGTCGTCCTGCTCCACGATGGTCAGGGGGCACAGGGGCGGGGGGGAGGAGGAGGGGGGCGGCGAGGGCGTGAGAGACGACGACAAGCTTGACGTGGTAGACGAGAGGGACGAGGGCGGGGAGGGCGTGTGGCTTCCGCTGTTTGTCGTGGGCGTGGTGGGGACGGAGAAAGACGGGGTGGAGGACGGGGGGCCGGAGGACGTGTGGGAAATCCTGGAGGGGAAGCTGAGGGTGCTGGCCAGGCTGGGCTTCGGGGAGAGGATGGGCGGCTTGACCGTGGGCAAGGACGCGGTCGGGGCGAGGGGCGCCTTGGCAGGGGAGGCGGCCGGCATCTCCCACGACATTCCGTTCAGCTTTCGGGGGGACGAACTGTAACCGGCGCCGTAGGGGGAGATACTGAAGGCGGGCGGCGACGGAGGCGAGGCGGACGAAGAGGTGGACGACAGAGACGAAAGGGATGAGGAAGAAGCTGACGAGGAGAGCTTCAAGCTGCCGATTCCCGAGGACGTGGTCGAGGCTGGGGAAGGAGGCGAAGAAGGAGCAGAGGACGAGGACGAGAGAGAGGATGTGGATGTCTTCTTTAAAGGCGGGACATCCGTCTCCTCCATCGCCTGGATGTGCTTCTCCATCTCCACTGTGGCCTCCTGAAGGGACCTCACAACGGCCTCTCGCGCTGGGTCACGCTCCTGAAGGGGAAGCGAAATCGGAATTTTAGTCAACTGAACCTAGCATCTTTTTCTCATTCACAGTCGATGCATGTGAAAAATAGCAGACTCTACTGTCCTGCAGCCAAAAACTAGCTTCTTATGACATCACCAAACCTGCAAGCCATCCATGTAGCTTTGCACTAACAGAGGAACACGATACGTGCGCACAAACACACACACACAAATATACGTCTAAGCGCGAACATGTTTATTATTCAACGTCGGGCCACGTTTACGACTCTCCCCGATTAAAGTCGACTTTCCATAAAAGCGCTTTAACGAGTGCAGCTGCTCAAGCATAAAAGCTACCCGGGTATAAAAGAGCCCTCGACAGATGTCACTCCATTAAGCTCAAAGGCTATTTCGACAGGAATAAAACTCTTCCAATAAGACTAGCAAACTCCTTCAATGATTGGGTTTTTGGCCCTACCTTATTCTGCTGGTTCCTCGCGGCCTCCTCCTCCATGGCCTGCACCGTCGACCTGCTCAGCCTCACCAGCTTGTCCAGCTCTTCCTCTGCCGCGCGTCTGCAAAGAGGGGGAAAAGGAAACGTCAGCGTCGTTTGCACAATCGTTGGAGGGGCGAATAAAATAACACGAAGGGAGAGAGAGAAAAAAAAGAACGAAGAAGGCCGCAGAAAATAAAACGGAGAAAGACGAAGACAATGACAAGGAGAGAGAGAAAGAAAATGACCCTAGGAGAAGAGAACGAAGAACGAAGGAAATGGGGAGACCGAAGAGGGAACGAAGAACGAAGGAAATGGGGAAGACCGAAGGTAAGAGACAGCGCGAACAAGCATAATGAACCCGAGACGCGAGCCAGTGAGCGTTAAATCAGTACGCCGCCGCTCGATCCGAAGTAAGAATGCGAAGACCCAAGAAAAAAAATAGAACGGAAACCTTATAAAAATTCAGCGGACGCCATAAAACAGGTTGTCGTGTCCAGACATGGCAATGAGCTTCTCCCCGCCCCACCCCCCACCCCCCACCCCCTGCCCCTCCCTTTCTAGCTCCCTCGAGAGAAACTTACGACCAATTCTTCAGAAGCTTCTAGGATCGCAATGGCAGAAGCAAGGATGACTGGACAGTAATAAAAAAAACAGTAATGGGCTCCTTAATCAATGGAATGAAAGAGGTTGATTTATTAAATTCGTACAATATAGTACAAACATTTTGGGAGTAAGATTAAGAGAATGAGGAAAAAAGAGAAGGAAAAATCGTAAGTTACAGAACAGTAGAAAAAGGGGGATAAAAGGAAAGGAATAGGAAAACAAAAGCGAGGGAGAACGAGGACCAGGGGAGGAGCTTCCCAAGAAGGGCGCCCGCGCCAGGACCCTCTCCCGCGCTGCCTTCGTGGGTCGGCGTCTCTCCCCGAAGGACTTCTGCTTCCCGTCCGCCGTCAGAGTCCGCGTCGGGGATTATTTATTCCTCCTTATTACGATCGCTTTTACGAGCGCCGGGCACCGAGCAACAGCTTTATTCGGCGCCACGGGGGTCAGGAGGGGAGGGGAGGGGGGCGCGCACCCCTTATGCGAAAGGGCGGGCGAGGGTGCCTTGGCTGGAAGCGCCGCTCGGGTTCTGACCGAAGGGAACGCCTTATACGCTCTCCTATCGGGCCGTAGATCAGCCGCGGGTTCATTCATTCATCCGCAGGTTCCTACACACCCACACGCTTGCACGCCCACCTTGGCCGCCTCGCCTCACGCACCGCCAACACCTCCTCCGCCTTCGAAACCCATCGCCAACGTCGGAGGAACTGCGAAAGGACGCGGCTGTGGCGGGTGCTCGCGTCGCGCTCGAACAGGTGGCTCCAATGCCCTCGCCCTCTCCCTCCCCCTTCCTCTCATGCGCCTTCCTTTGCGGGGGCTGGGGGAGGGGGGGGGGCAAGGGGCAAGGACGGCCGACAGCCTTCCCTCGGCTGCCAGTCGGGACCATCGCCGCGCTCACCCCCCTCCCCTCCTCTCCCCTCCCCTCCCCTCCCTCCCTCCCTCCCTCCCTCCTGCGCTCATCATAAGTCACGGTTTGCCTTGAACTCATTCATTATGAAAGTATTAGTATGTTTAATTAGTAAAACAAAGGCGGAAATACGGTGACACTAAACATAGTTATTAAAAATCAAAATAGTGATATTTTAAGTAATAAAAAGTTATAGTACGAGAAATACGTTCCGTTCCGATGACCAAGATGTGTTAAGAGAGTATGTTACCAACCATATAACACGCTTGACTCCAACGAAACAAAACATCACTGACTCACCATCTCCCCATTTCGCCATTTCCCACGTCGCGCAGGGGAGTGTTCCTCGCCTCTCACCCCCGCCCCCCCCTCGCTCTCATTACACGGAGCATTTAAATCCCTAATCACAGGGCGGGAGTGAGTAGCCTCCCGTCCTCAGCCTCATCATTTTAATTACCTCCAACAAGTCTATCCCTGATCGCCACCCCCTCTGCCCCCCCTCACTCCCGACCACCCTTGTCCCTCTCATTCCCCACGGGCCCTCCTCTCCCCCCTTTTCCTTGCCCTTGTACTCTGCCCCTGCCTCGGCCCCTGCCCTTTCCCTGCCCCTTGCTCTTGTAAACTTCCCCTCCCCCATCCCCTGCCCCTGCCTCTGCCCCAGCTCCTACCCCTGCCCCTCACCCACGCAAGAATGAGATCCCGTGGGAGGAAATGCTCGTCTCTCCAGCATGAGTGATGACGTCACGCCCACTCACATTCACTCACTCACTGCGGTTACACGCGATCGAGGGAAGGTCGGTGCGCCTCGCTGTCCGTCCGGCGCATGAACCTTCGCGTTTTATCGTTTTACTCGGAGTCACACCTGGACGCCAAACAAATGCCCAGTAGCGCTCATAAAACTTAACAGACCTTCTCTCATCCTCAGCCTTTTCGCCCCCCTTCCCTCTCTATCTCTTCCTCCTCTCCTCTCCCTTTCCCTCCCCCTCCCTTTCTCCCTCCCTTTCTCCCTCTCCTTCCCTCACCCCCCCCCAAACCCCCTAACGAAAATCCCACTTTCGGACGCCGCGGATTCCGAGCCGAGTGACGTCACACGTTGTCAACCAACTTATGACACGGCTTTTTTTTCCTCCCTTTGTTTTGCTCTCCTCCTCCGGCCACCGCTAACCAGAATCACCTTTTTTTTTAAACCGCCGTCCGTCCTATAAATGGAAAAAAAACACGTCACTCCCCCGTTTCTGTGTGACATTTATGCGTGTGTTCTGTCATTGTTTTGTTTTTTTTCTCTCAGGTCAATTTTTAAAAAGATCATTGCTTTCTCTATGGTAAGATAGGATAGCATGATGGGTATATATATTAATTCTGTCATTAACAATTCTTACACGTATGAGGCAGATTCTACAATAATTATAATAACAAAATTAGCAATAAGAAAACAATAAAGCTGTCATCGCGATTATTACTGTGTTTACTGCCACCGCACTTACATCCCAGCCATTACACCAATCCTTTAATTAACTCATGATGACGACGTGATAATTAATCACCATAATGTTATCGAAATAAAACCAAACCTCAGCAACATCAGGCAAAAACCACGAGATCTTGCGGATTCCGTGGCAGCTGCACCCACAGAAGGAAGTCCGTGAGATCCGCTTCCCTACGAACTAAAATCCCCTAACAATACATATATATACATATACATATACATATACATATATATATACATATACATATATACATATATATAATGCCAACCGACTGCAGTATTCTCTCATTAAAAACGCAGCATCCGGACGTCATCTGATGGTGAATTCGCGATCGAAATCTGCCAAGCGTAAGTGACGGCGAAAAGGCGATCCTCTCAACCACATTCCCCGTTGACATCAGGTGCATGGTTGAAGGGGGTGGGGGGTGGGTGAGGGGAGAGGGGTGGGCGACGGGAGGGGGGGTAGGGGGGATGAGAGAAGAGGGGAGGGGTAAGAGGAAGGGGAAGGGGATAGGAGGGGGGGGTAGGAGTAGTTTAGGATTATGGGGGAGGTGAGTAGGAGGAAGGGGGGAGTAAGGGGAATGAGAGGAGAAGGAGAGGGGGCAGAATGAAGGAGGGGGGGGAGGAAGCGAAGGGGAGGGGGTGCATATCCAACTGTGGCGTGGACCGAGCTTTGCATACCTAAGTCCCAAGAGGGCGCAGGCGATACACTTACCGACAAGGAAGCGATTCTAGAAATGGCGGTTCCACAGATGTTTGGAAAAGACGAAGAATGGAGGAGGCCAGACGCGCGATAGGAAGCGAAACACTAATAACAACAGCAACAATGGTAATAACGACAAATAACATATGCATATCATAGAAGGAAGGGAAAAAAAACGAAAAAAATAACACTCCCCTCCCCCCCTCCAAGCCACGTAAGGCCAGCGATCTCGCCGGACCAAAAACGTCGCATTTCAACAAGGAGAAAACAGAAACACGGACGCCAGAGCGGACCGTGTTGCCGGCAGGTGGCAGAGTCTATGGGCGGGGAGGGGGAGGGGGCAGCATGGGGGCAAAGAGAGGCAAATTCGCCCTTTTAGGGACTCCCGAATACCCACAAGGCCCAAATAGGGAGCGCCTCTCTCTTCAGCCGGGCCCTCTCCCTCTAGGGTTTGTTGTCACCTGCTGGCAAAAGAGGTAAAAAAAAATATGGCCTCCGTCTAGCTGAGCTTCCTCAACATAGTGAAAAAACTACAACCCTCCCGGCGATGCCAACGAGAGGCGCTAACGACCACGCCATCTCAGCTGACCGCTTGTTCCCGCTCACTCGGTCCGTCTCTTTCGCTCCCGGCCCGAACCTCGCCTCGGCCAGCGTCAGGAAGCCCCCAAACCACTCGACTTCTCCGCAGTCAGAGAACACAGAGTCGAATCAAGCGAATCAATAATTCACGAGAGCGATTCCCAAGCAAGACGGAGATGAGGAGACAAGCCGAGAGGTGATTCCACGACTGACCATTTCCGGAGGACGCGACCCTGGAGGATGCGGCCTCGCCCTTTCACGCTGCCGTTTTACCTTCGTGGCTGCCGCGGGGATCCCGGCGAGGATCGCGCCCACGCTCCGGCTGAGCCACCCCCACCCGTGCTCGATGCTCATTGCCCTTTGCGTCTAACATTATCATTCGCGTCAGTGCAAAGCCAAGGGGCCAGACGTCGCGCGCTCCTAAACAGGCAAGTGCGTTGCAAAACGAAATTTAATATGCAATAATCTTTATAAAAAAGAGAGAGAGAGATCAACGGAAACATAAAAGAACCAACACCTAGAACTTAAAAGAGAAAAACCCTCACAAGAAAGTTCTTCACCCGAGTGAAACCCGAGACCTGGACATTTCAAGTAGCCGAGTCGCCGCCGCCTCGCTCCTGACGGCGACGCGGCAGCCATGCCAAGGGAACTTAATGGCGACGCAAAGCAGAGTGGCCATCTTTTACAAGGGAGACGAATAGGGGTGGGAAGGAGGCGAAAGAGAGGGGAGGGAGAGGGGGAAGAGAAAGGTGGAGGGAGAGAGGGGAGAGAAAGGGGGTTGGGGTGAAAATGAGAGGAAAAATG